CCAAATCATCTTTCAATTCCTGCGCCAATGATTCCGCCTCACGAAGCTAGAACGAACAATCGAACAATCATAATCGTACTAGGCGATTATGTTCATGAAAATGCCAGGCGATAAGAGACGCTAACGCAGCCCCGAGGCAAACTCCTGGCCAAGGAGACATACACACAAATAGCGTTCACATTTTTGACGGATAGATGTAGATTAATTTCTTTCAAGATGTTGCGTTCTCGAAAAAATGACAAAGTTGTACGAAACTATCGACAAACAACCTGAGAAAAAAACGATTCACCAGACAAATTCTACATCCCAATGAAATCAGTAGTAGGCACAAACAGCAGCGGTTATGCTGAACCATAACCTAAGCAGAACGTTTGATGCGCATTGTTAGAGGCGGTTACACAAACATTTATGTAACGACTTGCCTAAGCGTTATACTAGGTAGCAGTTTTACAATAAGACATATTATAGGCGTACGTTTCAAGCTAAACAGGCTCACCCACCAACAACCCACAAAAAAGCTTCGCAAACAGCAACACAACTTGCAAAACAGGTGGTGCTGCCCGAAATTGAAATATGCACTAGAAAACCCATCAAATGTGAATGATAAGTGCAATGCAGCGGCATGCCAAAGAGAGCAGGACACTTGAAAAGCAGCACACTTAGCAGTTCACAACACCACTACCAAAACGTAATAACTGCCTACACAACAGAGGCTTACCTGTTTCATCGTAACCGTCTTCGCCATAACCTCATCGTCCAGCTTCTGTTGGGTTTCAGAGAGCTTAGCTTCAAGATTGGCCACCTGCTGCTTGAGTTCATCAATAAGACGAGTGTGATCTACGCCCTGCTCAGTCTTTTCGGAGACCTCTGTCTCCAGACGTCGCTTCGCACGCTCTAGGTCCTGTCGCGATGCCTGCTCCTTAGATAGCTTCTCCTCCAATTCTGAGATGCTCGACTCGTACTTGGATTTAAGCTTCATAAGCTGTTTTGAACGCTCCTCCTCATCAGTCAAGTGGGTTGAGAGATCAGTCAAACGTGATTCAATCGACTTCTTCTCCTTCTCCAACTTAGTGTACTTATCCTCCAACGCCGCATGCTCCTCATTAAGACTTTTCAAGGTCTGCTCCAGTGAGCCCTTTTCAAGTTGTAGCTTCTGACGATGTTGCTCTTCAACTTCCAGTTGATCCGAAATGTCACCCACCTGTTCAGATTTACAAATAGTTCAAACCCTGGGAATTTACTTCAAATAAAACCGAAGAATGACGAAAAAAGTGAACGGATAGAACACCGACCTGATCAGAGAGCGTCTTTTTTTGGGTCTCAAGTTCACCTATCAAGGTTTTAAATTCGTTCTCGCGATTCTCAAGATCGGTGATTTCCTCCAAGGCGGCCTGGTAATCGGTACGTAACTTCCTCTCCCGCTACAAAAATGAGAACAAGTGGATAAGCACTGAGACGACGCAATGTAGTCCTGCATAGTGAGATACAATCCCATCACAGGCAATATTTGGTGACCAAGGCTTGGAAAAGATGTTTCGCAAACAAGCACTGATCTTCTAAAACCCTTGAAGCGAAAAAAGGAGCCACGGTATCCCGCTGAGTCCATATTGTATCGAAAGGAGAAGGGAAGTGACACACGCAAACCAAAACTACACGAATGCTTAACAGTTCAACTAATCCTATCGCATCGCCAGCAAGGTGAGATTCCACAACTTTGAGTGGATTTCAACAATAAATTAATCTTAGGCATAACTACTAAAGCGAAAGTGGGCAAACACAAATGAATGTTAACTAGGTGATGATGAGAACCATTTAATCAAACAAAATCCACTTCTCTTAACCTATTTCGAGGTATGAGCATTCAGGTCGATTTCATGTGAGCACATGCGTGCCTTGGTAGCAAGGTGAAAGTCATCAATCTCACAAGAAGCCTTTTGGGTCACAAAACAGCTACCCTAGCTTACTTCCAAGGTACACCATCAACGTAAAATACTGCACAAAACGAAAACAGAAGTCTAACCTCGTCCAATGAGGCGAATGACTCATGCTCGATTTGCAGCTCTGATTCAAGTGAAACAAGTTTGTTTTGCGCCTCCTCGTAGGCTGTGCGAGTTTCGGTAAGTGATGCAGAGGTTTTGGCAAGGGCTTCTTGGACCTGGAAATAATGATAACTTTGAAATATCACGGGCGTTCCACAAAAAGGAAGAGAAAAGGAGAGAAAAGAATAATTTCAGTGAGGAAAATAGAATGGGGAAGGAAATCCTTGGTCGGTATTGCGACGCATACTTTGTGAAATGAGGTCCCAACACGAAGATAGATAAGAAATTCAAAGTACATGCGCAAAACAGCTGGTGGTCGACTGCGCATCACAATGACGCTGTAAATCAAGTATAAGTGGTTGGTTATCCGAAAATCTAATAACGGAATCGGATTACGGGTACGCCGAAATGGCCAGTTCAA